GTTCAGAATGGTCTGGTAGATATGTAGCTCAATTCAGGGGACCAGTTGAATGGAGTCCCCTATTCCTCTGCCATCTTTGCAACTCCCTTAGTCAGCTGATCTGAAAATAAGTAGGTGATCCTGGATTATCCAGACAAACTGAATGAATCACAAGTGGTTTTTTTTTTAAAGATTTTATTTTTTTTTAATTTTTTATTTTTTCACCGTAACAGTATTCATTATTTTTGCAACACACCCAGTGCTCCATGCAATCTGTGCCCTCTCCAATACCCACCACCTGGATCCCCCAACCTCCCACCCCCTGCCCCTTCAAAACCCTCAGATTGTTTTTTCAGAGTCCATAGTCTCTCATGGTTCATCCCCCCCTTCCAATTTCCCCCAACTCCCTTCTCCTCTGCATCTCCCCTTGTCCTCTGTGCTATTTGTTATGCTCCACAAATAAGTAAAACCATATGATAATTGACTTTCTCTGCTTGACTTATTTCACTCAGCATAATCTCTTCCAGTCCTGTCCATGTTGCTACAAAAGTTGGGGATTCATCCTTTCTGATGGAGGCATAATACTCCATAGTGTATATGGACCACATCTTCCTTATCCATTCTTCTGTTGAAGGGCATCTTGGTTCTTTCCACAGTTTGGTGACCGTGGCCATTGCTGCTATGAACATTGGGGTACAGATGGCCCTTCTTTTCACTACATCTGTATCTTTGGGGCAAATACCCAGTAGTGCAATGGCAGGGTCATAGGGAAGCTCTCTTTTTAATTTCTTTTTTTTTTAAGATTTTATTTATTTATTTATTTGAGAATGCAAGTAGGCAGAGAGGCAGGCAGAGAGAGAGAGAGTGAGAGAAGCAGGCTCTGCACTGAGCAGAGAGCCCGATGCGGGCTCGATCCCAGGACCCTGGGATCATGACCTGAGCTGAAGGCAGAGGCTTTAGCCCACTGAACCACCCAGGCGCCCCTCTCTTTTTAATTTCTTGAGGAATCTCCACACTGTTCTCCAAAGAGGCTGCACCAACTTGCATTCCCACCAACAGTGTAAGAGGGTTCCCCTTTCTCCACATCCCCTCCAACACATGTTGTTTCCTGTCTTGCTAATTTTGGCCATTCTAACTGGTGTAAGGTGGTATCTCAATGTGGTTTTAATTTGAATCTCCCTGATGGCTAGTGATGATGAACATTTTTTCATGTGTCTGATAGCCATTTGTATGTCTTCATTGGAGAAGTGTCTGTTCATATCTTCTGCCCATTTTTTGATATGATTGTCTGTTTTGTGTGTGTTGAGTTTCAGGAGTTCTTTATAGATCTTGGATATCAACCTTTTGTCTGTACTGTCATTTGCAAATACCTTCTCCCATTCAGTGGGTTGCCTCTTTGTTTTGTTGACTGTTTCCTTTGCTGTGCAGAAGCTTTTGATCTTGATGAAGTCCCAAAAGTTCATTTTTGCTTTTGTTTCCTTTGCCTTTGGAGACATATCTTGAAAGAAGTTGCTGTGGCTGATATCAAAGAGGTTACTGCCTATGTTCTCCTCTAGGATTCTGATGGATTCCTGTCTCACATTGAGGTCTTTTAACCATTTTGAGTTTATCTTTGTGTATGGTGTAAGAGAATGGTTGAGTTTCATTCTTCTGCATATAGCTGTCCAGTTTTCCCAGCACCATTTATTGAAACCAATGAAAATGAAGACACTTCGGTCCAAAACCTATGGGATACAGCAAAGGCGGTTCTAAGGGGGAAATACATAGCCATCCAAGCCTCCCTCAAAAAAATTGAAAAATCCGGGACGCCTGGGTGGCTCAGTTGGTTAAGCAGCTGCCTTCGGCTCAGGTCATGATCCCAGCGTCCTGGGATCGAGTCCCGCATCAGGCTCCTTGCTCGGCAGGGAGTCTGCTTCTCCCTCTGCCTCTGCCTGCCACTCTGTCTGCCTGTGCTTGCTCTCTCTCTCTCTCTGACAAATAAAAAAAAATTGAAAAATCCAGAATACACCAGCTGTCTCTACACCTTAAAGAACTGGAGAATCAACAACAAATCAAACCAACTCCACACATAAGAAGGGAAATCATCAAGATTAGAGCAGAGATCAATGAGGTAGAAACCAGAGATACAGTAGAACATATCAATGAAACTAGAAGCTGATTTTTTGAAAGAATCAATAAGATTGATAAACCATTGGCCACACTAATCCAAAAGAAAAGAGAGAAAGCCCAAATTAATAAAATTATGAATGAAAAGGGAGAGATCACAACTAACACCAAGGAATTAGAAACAATCATCAGAAGTTATTATCAACAGTTATATGCCGATAAGCTAAGCAACCTAGATGAAAAGGATGCATTCCTGGAAAACTATAAACTCCCAAAATTAAAGCAGGAAGAAATCGACAACCAGAATAGACCGATATCTAGTAATGAGATTGAAGCAGTGATCAAAAACCTCCCAAAAAACAACAGCCCAGGACCTGATGGATTCCCTGGGGAATTCTACCAAACTTTCAAAGAAGAAATAACACCTATTCTCCTGAAGCTGTTTCAAAAAATTGAAGCAGAAGGAAAACTTCCAGACTCTTTCTATGGAGCCTGCATTACCCTGATCCCCAAACCAGGCAAAGACCCTACCAGAAGGGAGAATTTCAGACCAATATCACTGATGAATATGGATGCTAAGATTCTAAACAAGATCCTAGCAAACAGGATCCAACAGCACATTAAAAAGATTATCCACCATGACCAGGTGGGATTCATCCCTGGGTTACAAGGATGGTTCAACATTCGCAAATCATTCAATGTGATAGAACAAATCAATAAAAGAAGAGAGAAGAACCACATGGTCCTCTCAATTGATGCAGAAAAAGCATTTGACAAAATCCAGCATCCGTTCCTGATTAAAACACTTCAAAGTATAGGGATAGAGGGAACATTCCTGAACTTCATCAAATCTATCTATGAACGACCCACAGCAAATATCATCCTCAATGGGAAAAAGCTTGCAGCCTTCCCGTTGAGAACAGGAACACAACAAGGATGCCCACTCTCACCACTCTTGTTCAACATAGTATTAGAAGTCCTAGCAACAGCAATCAGACAACAAAGAGAAAGAAAAGGTATCCAAATTGGCAATGAAAAAGTCAAACTCTCTCTCTTCGCAGATGACATGATTCTTTATATGGAAAACCCAAAAGACTCCACCCCCAAACTACTAGAACTCATACAGCAATTCAGTAACGTGGCAGGATACAAAGTCAATGTACAGAAATCAGTGGCTTTCTTATACACTAACAATGAAAATACAGAAAGGGAAATTAGAGAATCGATTCCATTTACTATAGCACCAAGAACCATAAGATACCTGGGAATAAACCTAACCAAAGAGGTAAAGGAACTGTACTCGAAGAACTACAGAACACTCATGAAAGAAATCGAAGAAGACACAAAAAGATGGAAGACCATTCCATGCTCTTGGATCGGAAGAATAAACATTGTTAAAATGTCTATATTGCCTAGAGCAATCTATACTTGTAATGCCATTCCGATCAAAATTCCACCGGTATTTTTCAAAGAGCTGGAGCAAATAATCCTAAAATTTGTATGGAACCAGAAGAGACCCCGAATTGCTAAGGAAATGTTGAAAAACAAAAATAAAACTGGGGGCATCATGTTACCTGATTTCAAGCTTTACTACAAAGCTGTGATCACCAAGACAGCATGGTACTGGCATAAAAACAGACGCATAGGGACGCCTGGGCTGCTCAGTTTGTTAAGCAGCTGCCTTCAGCTCAGGTCATGATCCCAGCATCCTGGGATCGAGTCCCACATCAGGCTCCTTGCTCAGCGGGGAGCCTGCTTCTCTCTCTGCCTCTGCCTGCCATTCTGTCTGCCTGTGCTCGCTTGCTCTCTGACAAATAAATAAAATCTTTAAAAAAAAAAAAAAACAGATGCATAGACCAATGGAACAGTGTAGAGAGCCCAGATATGGACCCTCAACTCTATGGTCAATTAATCTTCGACAAAACAGGAAAAAATATACAGTGGATAAAGATTTTTTTTATTTATTCCACAGACAGAGATCACAAGTGAGACAGAGATCACAAGCAGGCAGAGAGGCAGGCAGAGAGAGAGGGGGAAGCAGACTCCTTGCCAAGCCTGATGTGGGGTTCAATCCCAGGACTCTGGGATCATGACCTGAGCCGAAGGCAGAGGCTTTAACCCACTGAGCCACCCAGGTGCCCCAAATCACAAGTGTTTTTAAATGTAGAAGTGGGAGTCAAAAAAAAAATGTCAGTGAGGCAGTGGGAGAAGAACTCAACTGGCCATGGGTGGCTCTGAAGATGGAGGAAGGGGCCACAAGCAGCCATTTTTCCCTCTTCATCTCCCTGCGCTTCTCTACAGGGACTGAAGCTTGCTGGAAAAGACAGGCTTTCTCCACCTCCTCATCCTCACCCAGTTCCTATCAGATCCACCAGAGTTGGCCCCCAACCTACACACCTCTTGCCACCCTCTCGCCTGGGTAGCTCATCCCCTCCCAGCATGTTGTGTCTCGCCTCTAAGGAGAGCACCCTGCTCCTGAATTTCCAGCTCCAGAGGACCCCATTGGTTGGACTCTCATTTCCAGCCATCTCTTGGATGCTTGTGTTAATGGTGGTTCCCTGGCCACTCGGGGAAAACAGTGCCTGCTGGTAAGGCACTGCGTCTCCCCTCTCCTTCTACTATCCTTCTACTAGGTGCCGTGGTGCTCCCACGGCCAGGTGTCCAGGCATGTAGGTCCCATCCACCTACATGTCACTATGTCCCCATTAAATGTCTCCCCCAGACAACGTGCTAAAAACCAGGACAAGCAAAATGGCTTTCATGCTTGCTAACAGCTATAAGATGTCCCTTTCTTTGGAGGTACCATAACTTGCTTGTGATGACTCAGATTGGTGGCTTTTAGATTGTTCATCATTTTTCCATATTAAAGAAATCAACCAACATGCTTTTACAAATGCAACTGCTTTCTTTTACAGATCCTGTTGCATACGTGCATGTATATTCCCAGGCTATGTTCCAAGGATGGAAACTGCTGGGTCCGGATCTGTATTTGGGGAGATATCATCAGGGAGATTCTGCCCTGGAGAAGTCCCGCATGGTGTGTATCAGGGATGGTGACAGTGAATGCAAAGACTGTCCCTAGGTGTATCACAGCTCTGCACCTTCACTCCACATTAGGGATGGGAGTGCAAAGGTCAATATGGAGCCCCCTGCCCCCTGGCACAAAAATTGAGGGTAGTTGGTGTGTATGTATGGGAGAGAGAAAAAAAAACAGGAGACAGAGAGAGGGGAGATGGAAGTTTTCTGAACCTGACACAGTAAAGTTGTGAAACAGAAATATAAAACCCTTATGTTCCCTCAAGTGTTGACTCCATCATCATTAAACAAAAATCTCCCAACCCAGAAAACTTCTCCACAAAGGAAGAGGAGAAAGAACAGTTTTATTATTGAATAAATATTCAAGCGAGGACAGGATGTGCATCAGGACACGATCTGCCAATGAGATGGTGAAGACAGGAAACAGTCCTGCCCGGTCAAAGTCAAACAGAGTCAGCTCCTCGCATCCAGTGTCTCCAGATAATTAGTCCTCAAGCAGGAGGACCTGAGAGCACCACGTGTCCCACAGAGGTCATCCTAAATTTACCTGGTGACCGGGGAGACCACACGTGTCAGCAGACTGGTTTGAGGCCGAGGAAAATCAAACCCCTCCCGGCTTTATGTTTGGAGGCAGCTTGGCAACATGGAGTTGAGCTCCTGCCCTCCTTCTGAAGGTGGGAGATAGGAATGCCACCTCCCTTCGCCTTTACATTCCTGGTCCTTGAGAAAGAAAGTCCTGGGTCACAGAGCTGGCAAGAGGCTTACTTACCTTCTAAAAATGTTGACACACACCTTAAAGAGACAGAGAAAGAAATTTGAAGTTTTCTAAAGAAATGCTCTAAGCGGGTTCCCCTTTCTCCACACCCTCTCCAACACTGTTAGTGGGAATGCAAGTGTGTAGATTCCTTAAGAAATTAAAAATAGAGGGGCACCTGGGTGGCTCAGTGGGTTGAAGCCTCTGCCTTCAGTTCGGGTCATGATCCCATGGTCCTGGGATCGAGTCTTGCATCGGGCTCTCTGCTCAGCAGGGAGCCTGCTTCCCTTCCTCTCTCTGCCTGCCTCTCTGCCTCCTTGTGATCTCCGTCTGCCAAATAAATAAATAAATCTTTAAAAAAAAAAAGAAATTAGAAATAGAGCTTCCCTATGACCCTGCCATTGCACTACTGGGTATTTACCCCAAATATACAGATGGAGTGAAAAGAAGGGCCATCTGTACCCCAATGTTTATAGCAGCAATGGCCACGGTCGCCAAACTGTGGAAGGAACCAAGATGCCCTTCAACAGACGAATGGATAAGGAAGATGTGGTCCATATACACTATGGAGTATGATGCCTCCATCAGAAAGGATGAATCCCCAACTTTTGTAGCAACATGGACGGGACTGGAAGAGATTATGCTGAGTGAAATAAGTCAAGCAGAGAGAGTCAGTTATCATATGGTTTCACTTATTTGTGGAGCATAACAAATAGCATGGAGGACAAGGGGAGATGGAGAGGAGAAGGGAGTTGGGGGAAAATGGAAGGGGGAGACGAACCATGACAGCCTGTGGACTCTGAGAAACAAACTGAGGGTTTTAGAGGGGAGGGGGAGGGGGTGTTGGGAGAGCTTGGTGGTGGGTATTCAGGAGGGCACATATTGCGTGGAGCCCTGGGTGTGGTGCATAAACAGCGAATCTTGGAACACTGAAAAAGAAATATTTTTAAGGGTAAAAAAAACTCAAAAAAAAAAAAAATGCTCTAAGCTACAGGAACAATGTTCCTTCCCGTGTTTTCAACAGGTAGAATCAAGTTCTTGGCTGTAGTTTGGCAACCGCTTTCACGCGTTCCGATCTCCCCGGGCATCGCGAGGCTACGCCGCCAGTTTGGGGGGCGGACCGGCCTCCCCGCGCCTCCCCCAGAAGCTCCCCGGCGCTCCCGCGTTCTGGCCGACTGTGAGACCGACAGAGAACGAGTCTTCGCGACGCGTATTTCGCTCCGCACCGGGCTTCCCGCGGCTTAGCGTTGCGGCAGCGGGTGTGGGGGCTGAGGAACATTCCACCCTTCCGTTGCCCCGTCATCCCCGACGGACCCCGGTGGCTCCCGGCTTTGGGCCGTTGCAAGGACGCTGGTGAGCGGGAGAGGAGCACGGTCGGGAGTTGTTCAAAATGTCGTGCGCAGGGTTACCGTGCGCCCTGCCGGTTCTGCTCCTGGGCGTGCGTCCGCTGGGTTTGGGGCTTCCCGCGTTCCGGCTGACTGGGACGGCGGCGTCTGACGAGCAGCGCTTGCACCTGCGCGTTTCTGTAAGCGCGGCCGGCGATCGCGACCGATCACCTGCCCGCGTTCGGAGGTCACGCCCGTGGGCCCCGTCGCAGAGATGGCTAGTACAAGTGTGCCTGTGCTGGCACTGCGGTGAAGTGCAGCTGTTCACGCGCCGGCTCTCGCCGGGAGGCGGAGAGTAGGGAGGAAGGTTATGTCCTTGGTTTTTTGTGGGTTTTGTTGTTTTGTTTTGTTTCGCTTTGTTGGTCCTTTCTTCTTGAAAAAAAGGGGCCTCCCCCTGTTTTTCAGTCTCTGGCAGACCGCGGTCGGCTCTGCCGTCGCTGCCCGGATCTGTCCGAATGCTCTTTTGGCCGTTTGCACAACTTCCTCTTACCGCTGCTGGCCTTCACCCACGGTAGGGATGCCAACAGCACCCACCTCTGTCTTTCGCATGGCTTCCCTCACACCATCCCCGTGGCATCTCTGTGATACGTCCACGTGATAAAATCATCCACAAGTACTTTTTTTTTTTTTAAGATTTTATTTATTTGAGACAGAGCAACTGAGAGAACGGGAGAGCAGGGGGAGCAGCAGAGGGAAAGAGAAGCAGGCTCCCCGCTGAGCAGGGAGCCCAATTCAAATATTAAAAACGTTAAAAGTGTGAGAGTGGGGCTCCTGGGTGGCTCAGTCGTTAAATGTCTGCCTTGGGCTCAGTCATGATCCCAGGGTCCTGGGATCCAGCCCCGCATCGGGCTCCCTGCTTAGCGGGAAGCCTGCTTCCATCTCTGCCTCTGCTAGTGTTCCCTCTCTCACTGTCTCTCTCTATCTGTCAAATAAAATAAAATGTTGAGAGAGAGAGAGAGAGAGCATGAGAGCTTGCTCACTGGAAATTGGTGAGGTTTTCCCGTTCCGTTTTGCTTGGCATTGTCTGGAAGGGCAGCCAGTCTCTGTCTCCTCCCGCGGAGACGTGGTTTTGTGCTGTTTTGTAATTCTGCATTGTTTTTCTTTTCCATCTATTTATTTTGAAACGAACTTAGGGAAGAGTATGTAAATGCAACACAAAGAAGCCTTTTCCCCCCTGAACCATTTGAGACTATGCCGCACACCTGATGTGACTCACCCAGACACTGATCTTTCCTCCTGCAAGCAAGGTCATTCCCCTACTTAACCATAATACATCATCAGAACAGGAGTACTGATACTGCTGTCTCTAGACGTTATGGGGGAGAGCCAAAGTCACGCAACAGCCGTCGTCTTCCGCTACTCAGAAAGCCCAATATACTAGCTAAAGCCTTCATCATAGGTGAGTGACCCCACGTCCCTGGGTTCCTCCCAATTTGTCTCGTGGTCCACCCCATCTAACACCCTCGAGATCCCCTTGCAGTGCTCTCCCGGTTCCTGGAAAACACATGAGCCAGACCCTACAATTCATGGAGCATGAGCTGGGATCTGCCACAGGCAACGAAAGGGAGGTTGTGGGGTGAAGGAGTATCACCCCAGGAGACACCTGCTTATGAAGGAACTGTGACCAATGAGGAGGTCCTGGTCTCTTCTCACAAGGGCACCCCAGGGGAGATGGGGGGTTCAAGATTTTCAGGTCTGTCCCCACAAATGACCCAATCCCAGATCTCAGATTTCATTTCCTGTGAAGCTCTGCTGCCGCCACCCTGAGCCCCTGGCCTGACATCAGTGGGATCTGCCTGCAGATCCCGTCCCCCTCCGTCCGCTCTAGAGGACTCTGGGTGTCGTGTCACATCTTCAATGGAAACTGCGACTCTGAGCCGGGCCCTGTGTTCCTAAGGCTCGTGTCGCCATCGGAACAGACCACTCACTGCCATTTGCCTGGTTTCCATGAGGATCTGTCGACTTCAGAAGCCACTCGGTCCCCCGGCACCTGCCCTCCAGCCCCCCCACCCAGTCCTCCCAGTAGCACAGATGACAGGAAGCGGCCGTGTTGCTCTGGGGCTGATGGTTAGTTCCATGGTCGTCCACTGTGGCTGCTCATGTTCATGGCCCAGAGAGGGGACCACACGGGTCTGTGCAAGGGGTTGTCAACGGAAGGTGACTTCCTTCCCAGGGGCACTTGGCGATTTGGGGTGGGGACGCTGCCGGCACCAGCAGGTGGAGAGCAGCAGTGCCTTTCAGCATGCACTGTGCCCAGGACGCCCTGGCCCACAGCCAGGGTCAGCCAGCCCTGAATGCTAACAGCACTGGTGTTGGGGGACCTGCTACTCGTCCAGTACTTCTTGGCATTCCCTCAGGGGCTTTTATGGGTTTTGAGATAAACCCCAGTAGACAAAAGAAAGAGAAGCCCTTCTCTCTCCCACCGGACAGAAAACAAGCACGGGGTCCCCACTGGCTCTGGCAAGCATCCTGGGACCCCCAAGGAGACTGTGTCAATTTCCTCTGGCTTTTGTGACGATGATCACCGACGTGCCGGCTTGAAAAACATACATTTACTCTCAGAGTTCCCGAGGCCAGACGTCCAAGCTGAAGGTGTCAGGAGGGCCGTGCAACCCCGAGCCTTGAAGGGAGTCTGTCCCTGCTGCCTTCGACAGCTTCTGGGGGTCCCCACCGTTCCTTGGTGTGAGGCCGCATCATTCCCGTCTCTGCCTTGTCTCCATGCGGACTTCCCCACTCCACTCTGTGTCACCTCCTCTTCCGTCTCTTAGAAGGACCCTTGTCGCTGGATTTAGGGGAGCCCCCCCGACCCCGGGGATAATCTAGGATGGTCTCATCTCGGGATCCTGCATTTAATTTTATCTACAAAGCAACGCTTTCCAAACGGGCTCACACTCCCCGGTGCCGAGGGTTCAGACTTGGATGGCTCTCGTAGGGGTTCACGCTTGGACTGGCTAGAGACGCGGCCCGGGGATGAAGCTGACCCGGGTCAGAGGGTCAGTCCGGCAGGAGGACCAAACACAAGGCCCACCCTTCCGCTGGGCTCCCACCGCTGAGACAGCGTTCCTTCTTGCTTACGCCTGGGGTGACCATCAGCCCCGCTTACACCCCGCGTGTGTCCCAGCACAGCAGACACAGGCAGCACCCCCATCCTGGCAGAATTCCCAAAGTCCGGAGAGCAGTCTGAAGGGTTTCACGCCACCTCAGGTTCCTTTTTGGGAAAACAAAACAAAACAAAGCAAAGCAAAGCACCCCCGAACCATCATCCGTTCACATTGGGTTCCTCGGTCTGCTTATTATCTGATCACAGAGCTCTCTCTGGGCTTCCGTGGGTTTGGGTGGTTTTCTTTTAGGCCTGTTCTTGTCATCTGTCATCTCTGGGGACTTTCTGCAGGGCTGTGAGCCACCTCAAAACCTTGAGACGAAGCAGGGGTTAGTGGTTTGTGAGTCACCGTTTGCGGTCTGGGGCTTCTCGCTCCAGAGGGGAAGCGGATGTTGGTTGTGAGGGTTTGTGGCCAGAATCAACCCCAAGCCACGTTGCACTTGTCTACGCAAGAGATGGGTCCCTGTGAGGACGGCCGCCCCCGTGGGCTGGGCTTCACACTCCTTCCACCCGCGTTTGTCTCCCACACGAATGTGGGCTTCTGAATCAGACCGGTTCCCACTCTCCTTGCTCCTGACCCCAGGGCTTGGTCGGGTCTTGTTTTTAAGTCAACACGCCCACCGTGGGGCTCGAACTCGCAACCCCGAGATCAAGAGTCATATGCTCTCCCGACTGAGCCAGCCAGACGCCAGCCCAGGTCCTAAAGAGCAAGAAGGGGGAGTTCGTGGTAACATACACTCATTTCACTTGACTTGCTTAAAAGTGACACCTGTGATGTGGGTTCTGCTTAAAAGCAGAAGGGAATTGAGGAAGTGTCCCAGGAAGCTCACAGCCCTGAGAAAAGCTAAAGAAGCCGGTTTTGAAGAGGACGGTATAGCAGGCAGAACACTGGCTGCCCAGAGTCCATACCCTCATCCCCAGAACCCGTTACTTTGCATGGCAAAGGGGGGTTAAGGTGGCAGATGGAATTCGGTTGCTTACCGGCTGACATAAAGGACAGAGGTGATCCTGGATCACCTGGGGATCTTCCTTAAAAGGAGGGCAGAGGGAGAGCCAGAAAGACAGCAGTGTGAGGACGTGGCCACCACAGCTGGCCCTGAGGACAGAGGAAGGGCCAGGAGGTGAGGAATGTGGGGGCCGCCTAGACGCTGGACAAGGCAGGAAGCAGATTCTCCCCCTGAGCCTCTGGAAAGAACACAGCTCCGGCTGACACCCTGACGTTGACCCCAAGACCCATTCTGGACTTCGGACGTCCGGAACTCTTAGAGAGTAAGTGCCTATCATTCAAGCCCCCCAGTTTGTGTTCAGATAGACCATAGCCAGGGTGCGGGGACCAGGAGCCGACAGACATCTCTGGAACACACGACTGGTCTTGGTGTCAGCCTCATCAAGATCCAAATTCAAGGAGAGGGTCTGGTTGGTCTTGCTCGAATCCCATCCACGGCCCGCTCACCAGATTTGCAAAGACAAGGGACCCTGACTGAGAGACCCACCGAACTGTAGACAACGGGAGCAGGATGTCCATGCAGGAGCTCCCGGGCTGGTGAGCATGTGGAGGTGCAGGGAGGGGGGTGTCTGGGGCAGCAGGGCTCTGGGCCCTTTGGCCATGCGTCTCTGCCAGTTGGAGGGGGTCGTCACAACGGCACTGATGATGGGGCAAAGACGACATCTGTCTCCTGATGGAAGGCACCACGAAGAAGACAGCATTGCTCCTGTGGTATTCCTCCCGACAACACATAGCCTGAGTTTAATGATGAGGAAATCACAGACAACCCCGACTGGAGCACTTTCTATGAAATTCCTGGCCAGGACTTCTCAGAAGGGCCCAGCTAATGAGAGAGAAAGACCGTTTCTGTCCAAAGCCGGTTAAGGAGATGTGCCAACTAGCAGAACGTAGATTCTGGATTGGATCCTGGGTCAGAGAAGAATTTTGTTAGTGTTTTTGCTATAAAAGATGTTGTCACTGAAAAAATCCCAGTGTCTATAGATCAGTATCAGATATTAGTACCATGATTGTTATTTTCTTGACCTTGATCATTTGTATTTCGGCTATGTTAGCAAATACCATCACATCCAGGCGAATCCTGTACCTGTGTTTGGAGAACCAGGGGTTTCCAGGTTACCCTCCGACTACGGTACTACCGGTAGAAGGATTCCTCAAGCTTGGTTTTTCCGATGCCGCAGTGAGAAATACGCATGTTCTATAAGGTTATGCACACGTGTGTGATCTGTGTACGCATGACGCATGTGTGGTGTGTTACGTATCCCTGGGGTGGATGGGCTCCCAGGGTGCCCTCCCGGGATTCCACCTCCTGGCACTCACACCTTCTCCTGCACTGCTGGACGGAGGCCTCAGTTCCTCTCTGGCTGTCCAGCTCCTGGCGGCTCACGGCTCCGTTGCGGGGAGGCGGGGCGAGGGCCAGCAAGCACCTGCTCTCGGTAGACGCCCGTCAGCAACCACACCCCAGAACCGGACGTTCCGCCAGCTTTGCTCTGTTCTCCACCCTAGAAGTGAGTGGCTGGAGGGTATGGACAGGGGCAGGTGGGGACCGCTGGGGTCCATGCTGGAAGGTGCCTACCCGAGTGCGTTCATCAAAGAAAATGAACCGTATTTACACAGCCCTGAGCCGTCTTTAATTCCGCCCTCAGCACTCCCCTCCCTCGGCACCATCGGCATTTGCAGCGGGGCATGGGCCGCTGTTCTGGGTAGCGAAGGGTGTGGAGCAGCATCCCTGGCCTCCACAAGTATCTCAAATGTTACAATTTCTTGTTAAAATATGTGTATACTGCACCTTGTAGGCCCTTTTTAGCATATGAAAACTCCGTTGGAAAACAAAAAAAAGAAAAAATAATAATAAAAAAAAATATGTGTATACTGATTACTGAACTTTCTGGCGCGTCCCCTCCCCCAATTTTGTGCGGGAGCGGAGTGCCAGCCTGGATTCTGTCACCGAAGCCACGCAGCTGGTGGCTCTTCCGCTCTCGCTGTCCCGAGCAGGACTGGCGTCACAAGGCCTGTCCTCGGGGCTGTCCCCGGCGGCTCGGCCAGGGTACGGCACGTGCAAGGGAACACTCAGCGGCGAACGGCTCCATCCCCCAGCCGGACGAGAACTCGCTCATCAGCACTCGCTCCGGCGAGGCGGTCAGGTTGTTCTGCGCATGCGCCGGGGGCGAAACCGCGGCTCAGAGACGCGCCTGACGTCCCACAGGGAGCCACGAACTTGACCGCGGCTGTTCGACACCCTCCCCAGCGGTCATACGGTTCTGCACAGTGGCCACCACCGGCTCTCCTGACACGGCCACGGCAGACGCCTCCCACAGCAGCTCCCTTCACCCACTCAAGGCAGGTGTCTGAAGGCCCCACGCCCCTGCGGGCTACAGGGCGCGCCGCACCAGCGGGCCACTGTGCCAGGTGCACATCTGCAGTCCCGCCCACTGTGCCTGAGAAGAGAAAAGGGCCGCTAGTGACCCCTCCAGGGTGGCGTGGACGTGGCAGCCAGCGTTCCCTGGGCACCTGCCACCTTGAGGGCAGTACCAGCGTGACAGCGGTGGTCTCCAGGCTCACGCAGCCAAAAGTGCCAGCTAGAGGTGACGCGGGCACGGCGGTAAGCACTCCTAAGCAACACTGCCACCTAGAGGGTGCTGGGGGTATGACAGCAGCGGTCTGGCGCTCAAGCAGCCAACAGCGCCACTTAGAGGGTGACGTAGGCATGGCGGTCGGCGTTCCCTGGCCAGTACTGCCGCCCAGAAGGTGCTGCAAGGCATGAGCGCAGTGGCCTCGAGGCTCAGGCGACCGGCACTGCCATCCGGAGGGTGACGTGGGCAGGGACGTCAGCGTTCCTTGGCCAACACTGCCACCTAGAGGGGACTGAGAGCATGACAGCAGCGGCCTCGAGGCTCACCCAGCCAGCGCCGCCACCCAGAGGGTGGGGCAGACAGCGGCCAGCCTTGGCTGGTCTTGCCGCTCCATAGTTTCCGCAGGCTCCACGAGGTTACTTGGGGAGGGGCTGCCCCCTCACAGAGGAAGCACCAGGCACCTCCAAGCCCACCAGGCGGGCACTTTCAGCCCAAAGTCTCTGGGCTGTCTCCTCATCCTCAGCTTCAGGGGCCGGAGCCTTCTCTTTGAGTCCGTCGAAGTACTTCCCAGAAACACCCTCCAGTTCCTCCGCCACAGCCAGGTACGTGCTGGGCTGGGCTGCCAGCTCCGGGCTCTTGACCAGCAACCAGAAGACGGGCCCTGCAATCAGCCCACGGAGCATTCAGTCCGCGCACGCTCAGGGAGGACAGGAAAAGCCCCCCGCCATCCCTGGGGTTGCCCGGGGCCCACAGGCCAGATGTGGGACTGCGGTCCCATACAGTCCCCCTCCAGGCCTGTGCCTCCCAAAATTCCCTCCACCAGGAGCTCCCTTCCCTGGCACTGCCCAGCCAAATCCCTCCAGATGCAGAGACCGGCCCAAAAGCTGCCTCCCCCAGGAAGCCTCCCTGGCTTTTCCCCAGGCAAATGGAAGCTCTCGCTCCTCAGTCAGCTCTGAGTCCTTACCCTACCCCATTTTGCTTTAAAAATAACTTTTATTTATTAAATGTCTCTGGGGCCAGCCTCAGCTTAAGATCCTTGAAATCTGGCACCCACCCCGTAAATGATTTTCAGGATTACAAATACTAGCTCTAAAGTTCTAAGTATTTACTCACCTTAAAGCTGGTCAGGCCCTGTGCTGGCCCTGTTAGGGCCCATCTCAACCTCCCAACAACTGTAGGAGGACACTATTACGGCCCTCACTTTGTAAGGAGGGAAACTGAGGCCCCAGAGGTGAAGTGGCTTCCCTGGGTGGCACAGCTAGTTTGGGGTGAAGCCAGCGTCCCCCTACGCACAAGCAGGAGTCAACTCCCTGGTCTCCTTCTCTGAGACTCGGTCTGTTTCATCAAACAGGATCCAGCCTGTTTTCTGGGCCTGTTCTGAGGCCAGCAGGCTGGATACACGGGTAGAAGTGACTCATTCTCGGGACCCGGGAAGACACGGGAGGGGGCAGAGCCAAGCCGCCGACACAGTCTCTGGAGTGTGCGGTTAATTTTGTGTCAACCTGACTGAACTAAGGGATGCCCAGAAAGCCGGTAAAGCCCTGTTTCTGGGCGTGTCCGTGAGGACGTGACCGGGAGAGATCAGCACTGGAATTGGCAGACTGCGTAAAGACCCGCCCGTGCCAACTGGGCAGCCACCACGCTATTAGCTGAGGGTACGAACAGAACGAATTCCCCCTCTCTCTGCGTGAGCTGGAACACCCGTCTCCTGCCCTCAGATACTGCTCCTGGCCTTCGGGCTGGGACTTATGCCATCGCTCCCCCGGTCTGCAGGCCTTCGGGTTTGGACTGGGACTACAGCACCAGCTCTCCCGGGCCTCCGGCCTGCAGACGGCAGAGCACGGGTCGTCGCAGCCTCCCTGAATGCACGAACCAGCCCCGCGTGACAAATCTCTCCGAGCATCTATATAATCCTCGTGGTTCTATTTCTTGGCGGAACCCTGACTAATCCCCCGAAGAGAGCCCAGGCCCCAGGCTGTGAGGGCAGGGGTTCCGCTCAGGGAGCCCAGGCCAGGAGGTGGCTTACCGAGCGTGAAGCTGGAGAAGGCGGAGCTATGCATGCCCGTGTGCCTGCCCAGCTCAGTCCTGGCCACACCGGGGTGCACAGCGTTGACAGTCACACCCGTGCCTGGGGAGAGAAGGGAAGAGGAGGGATGACGGCAGACGCCAGGTTCACGCCCCACCTGGAAGCCTGACGTGGCCCACCCTCAGCTCTAGGGTTACCCCACACTGTGCTGGGTCCTACCCTTGACCCCACACCACCCCTCTTGCTCTGACACTTCCACATGCGGTGGTTTCATCTTGCAAAGCTGCTCTGCTGCCCGACTGCCCAGAGCAGAGCCTCCCAAACCTGAGCGTACGTAAGAAATCACCCGGAGGGCTTGAGATGCCCAAACGGCTGGGCTCCACCCACCTCAGGGAACCTGAAGCAGTGGGTCGGGGATGGGGTCTGAGGTGCCGCGGTCAGGACAGGCTCCCGGCTGAGCTGATGTTGCTGGCCCACGGATGCTCTCCAAGGAGCGGGGCAAAGGGCAGGCTTCAGCTTCAGCTCTGTGGACGCTGAGGTCCCGTCATGTTTATCCTGTGCATGGAAGGATGCCAGGCGGCTAGATGCCAGCGGCAACACCCGCCCCACCTCCACTCCCTGAAGCAACGGCCATAGCCATCTTCAGACACTGCCGTGGTTGAGCACCACTAGCCTAGAGCACCAACGGCCTGGATGCCCAGTGGGATAAACACAGAAGGCCACAATCGATTAGTCATGTCTGCCTCAGGCACCAGAGAACCAGGGGTATGTGTGTCACACATCTGCCTGCTCTGTTCCGGGACCAAGGCTTGACCTCCCCTGGGCCCAGGGTTGCAGCAGGACATTCCAGGCCCAGAGCTAGAGCAGGAGGAAGGCCTGCGAGGCTCGCCATGCACGTACCCTGCAGCCGCCAGCTCAGCTCCTTGGTAAAGAGGATGATGGCCAGCTTACTCTGGCAATAAGCCGCTCTGGTGTCATACTTCCTCTTCTCCCAGTTCAAGTCGTCAAAGTCCACGTGTCCCGCGATGTGGGCCAAGGACGAGAGGTTGATGATCCGTGAAGGGGCCGAGGCTTTCAGTCTGTCCAGCAGCAAGTTTGTCAAGAGAAAGTGACCTAGAGGAAGGACAACGAAGACCGTTTCCACTGAATTCTTAGCTGGTCCATAGGATCGTACTGACAATGGTACCTTCTTTGACCCTCCCAGTAGCCCAGGGCTCTCGACAGGGGCCAGTTCTCTCCCCCACGGGACATCTGGCAAGGTTAGAGGTTCCAGTCATCGTAACTCCAGAGAGAGAAGGGGGTGCTCCTGGCATCTGGCGGGAGGCGGCCAGGGACGCTGCTGGACACCCTGTAGTGCCCAGGATGGGCCCAAAGCAAAGAGGGACCCAGCCGCAGGCATCAGGCCCTGGAAGAACCCCGAGGGGACGGACCGCCTCCCGCGCCGCCCTCAGCAACAGAACTGCGGGCTGTGCACAGGACTGCCCAGTGAAAGACTACATTTCCCAGACTCCCTTGCAGCAACGTCAGGTCATGTGACTGCATCCCAGCCAATAGAACCCGAATGATAGCAACGTGTGTTACGACCTCCAGGGCCTCGGCATGGGCCTTATTTGGAGAAGGGTCTTCACAAGTGAAAATGAGGTCGCTAGGGTGGGCCCTGATCCAGTGACTGGCGCCCACCCAGTATCTACCCCCTTGCCCTTACTAACAGAACTCCAGTCACATCCAGGGTGACAGCGGGTGGACAGAATGAGTGACTGATGGACAGGCAGACTGGAGGACAGACAAAGGGTCACATGGCCAAGAGATGGGCAGAAGATCCAAAGGACTGACAGAGCATCCAGCAACGAAGGGGAGCCTTGGAGCCTGAGTCCAGCCCACCGGGGACCCCCGCTCGCACCCAGGTCCGCGACGTGCCACGCAGCCCTCAGCCCGGGCCCTCACCCAAGTAGTTAACGCCAAACTGCATCTCGAAGCCGTCCTCCGTGGTCCAGTGCGGGCACCGCATCACAGCCGCGTTGTTGACCAGAACGTGCACCTGCTTCTCCTCTGGAAGACAGGGGTGAGGGCGGACGCCGTCAGCATCTGGGCCTGCGCGGAGGGCCAGCGCAGCCGTGGGGACAGCGCCCCCGGCACTGGGCTGAACAGTGCCTGGAACATTCATGTCCACCCGGAGCCTGTGAATGCAACCCGTGTTTGGAAAGAGTCTTTGCAGAAAGTCATCAGGTTAAGAGAAGGTCACGGTGTGGGCCCTAACCCGGGAGGAGACAGACCGAGACCCGCCGGGAGACAGAGGCAGAGACTGCAGCGACACAGCAACCAGCTGAGCATCGCCGGGGACCGGCAGCCACCGCCAGAGGCGGGAAGAGGCAGAGGGCCTTCTCCGGTCTCGGGAACAAGGGCCGCCCAGCTGACGCCCTGATCTCGGACTTGCCTCCACAACCGTGAAGAGAACGGGTGCTCATCTCAAGATACTCATTTGCTGCACTTGGCCATGGCAGCCCCAGAGACAGATACACACCCACCTAAGGCCTGGAGGTCTCTCCTGGAGAAGGAAAGAAGCCACACCCACAGGGGCCTCGGGCATCGGACTGAGGGTTACTCGTGGGCCCAGCTCGCTGAGCAGCCGGTGCTGCACCGGATTCCAGACCTAGCACCTTCCTCCCGTATCAGCTAGCGAGGCCGCTCTCAGAAAGCGCCACACAATGGTCCACTTGAACGTACTGTGTGCCGGCCCTGCAGGTGGAAAGCCGGCGGTCCGTGCGTCTCAGGGCTGTTTCCTTCAGAGGACCGATGGCCACAGGGGAGAATCTGCTAGGCTCTCTCCTGGGCTCCTAGGTGACTCAACTCCCAGTCTCTTCCCTTGGGCCTGTCTGCGTGCTCACCTCCCCTCTGTATGAGGACACCAGGCTTAACCACCTCCGCACAGACCCTCTGCAGACCAGGTCTCGTGCTGAGGTCCTGGGGGTCAGGACCCCAACGCACCTTCGGAGGGACACAGGGGAACCCACACACTCTGGAAGTGCTTTCCAGGATCCGTGGAGACAACAAACTAGTTATCAAGCACCGACGCAACGGCCTCTGCCTGGCTGTTGGAAGGGCCAGCACAGCCCTTGGGAGCTCCCACCCGGGAGCCCCAGGCTCTACCCTGGGCAGCTATACAACCCTGGCCGAGTCACGCAGCTTCTCTGTGACTCGGTTTCCCCTCTGTAAAAACAGGTAACACGTGCACTGCTGGGCCCGATGAGGGAGAAAAAGCAGCACAGCTCCTCACGTATGACGGGCTCTGATTGTATAAAAAAGCGAAGGGAGGGGCCTGGGCGGCTCAGTCCATTAAGCGTCTGACTCTTGGTTTCAGCTCAGGTCGTGATCTCAGGGTCGTGAGATCGAGCCCCAGGTTGGGCTGCACTGGGTGCAGGGTTCCCTCCCTCCCTCTGCTCCTTCCCCCTCCGCTCATGAAACCCCTCTGTAAAAAGGACAAAAGCCACAGGGTGGTCTCTACACCTGCCTGCTTTATAAATGCACAGACTGTCTCCAGAAGGTCACGCGAGGACCCCGAGCGCCGCTGAGGAAGGCAGCGGCAGCCGGAGACAGGGAGGTGCCGGCGGCACCCCCATTTGTCCTTTCTGAATGTTTAATCCCGTAAAATGGTACTCCTGTTTGAAAACATAAAGACGTGAGCCAGTTCTGAGAACATCCGGTGGGGAGCAAAATGAGCAAAATGAGTCAGGGAGGCGGAGTGTGGGAAACGCCGGCGGAATCCCTGCACCTGCGGAAAGAGACACCCAGCAGACCCTCAAGGGCCGGAAGCCGCAGGAACCGCCGGCTCAGTCAGCATTTGCGCCGCCTCCAGCCGGCTAACCCACCCGCCAGCTCCCTGCACACCTGACCGCACCCGGGCCTCTGCGTCTTGTCAGCTCCGATGCCCACGGAGCTCGTCTTCCTGCAGAGCGGGAGTCCCACAGAGCAGACTTGCCCTGTAAGGGCCCAGACTACGTATTGTTGGCTTTGCAGGCCACAGGGCCTTTGCTGCCGCCGGACTAAAGCAGCCGCAGGTAACGCGTAAACTAACGGGCACGACTGGGTGCCGATAATAAACTTCCCCACGGTGCTCGCATACCCAGAAATATTACTCTTCCAATTTAGGCAACGGTTGAAATGTAAAATGTTTCCACGTGACAATGGAAGGAGCTATAAAAATGTACAACCTTCACCTGTAGAGATGTGCACCTGTCCGAAAACACCAGCGCCACACCGTGGGACTTGTGGCCACCCAGGACCTCGCCCCCCAAGGCCTGCATCGTCCCTCCTACCTTCAGTGATCTTCGCGGCAAACTCTCGGATGGACTTGAGGGAGGCCAAGTCCAAGTGCCGGGCCCTGACGCAGTGATTAAGGGTCTCCCCGCGAATGTCCTTTGCCGCCGCCTCACACTTCTCCATATCTCGACAGGCCAGAATGACGTTGCCTCCTGTGAGCCCAGGGCAGGAAAAAACTAGTTTTTAGATCCTCTCCCAGGTACAGACACCCAACACACATGAAAACACAGGCACCGTTTACAGCAGCCGAAAGACGGACACCACCCAAATGTCCACCAGCGGCTGAGCAGAGAGGCACAAGGCATCCATCCAGACCGTCGAACCTACTTGGCCACAGAAATGATCATGACGTGCGCTAGCACGTGGACGGACCTCACGAACGCGCTCACCGGGAGCAGCCAGTCACGAAAGCCAACGTGGCCGATGATTCCGCTGATAAGAAACACCCAGAACAGGCTGACTGACAGGAGGCAGGATGGCTCCCTGGGAGGAGTGGGAATGGGGATGACCACTGAAAGGACGAGCTGTCATTCTGGCGAAACTGACTGGCAACGTTCGCACAACTCCGGGAATATACTAACCACCACGGGGGAATTGTGTGACGTGTGGACTGAATTTCTGTATAGCCACAGAAAAATAACTTTAGGGGCGCCTGGGTGGCTCAGTGGGTTAAAGCCTCTGCCTTCGGCTCAGGTCGTGATCCCAGGGTCCTGGGATCGAGCCCCGCATCGGGCTCTCTGCTCGGCAGGGAGCCTGCTTCCTCCTCTCTCTCTCTCTGCCTGCCTCTCTGCCTACTTCTGATTTCTGTCTGTCAAATTAAAAAAATAATAATAATAATAACTTTAAAAATTAGAGAAGTGAGAAGAAGCGGGGACTGGAGGAGGACAGGCAGCCATGAGGCGGATAGCGTGGATCTGTGTGGATCCACATGGATCCCCGTGGCTCGCTCCCCGCCGGGCCCAGCTGCCTCCCCTCACATGGTCCACAAGGGAACTCAGTGGACCCCAGATCTGTCCATCCTCTGTTGGGGCCCAGCCCTCCAGATCCAGTGGGGGTGTCCACCCAATGTCACTGCTCAGCCTCTCCTGGGAGGACTACATGCCCCCTCCTCGGGGAAACGCCATGTCGTGGGGGGGGCAGGGTGCCGCCCATCACAGCCCCCTCCCATCTGACCTCAGAGGGAGACGGGCAGCTCTAGGCTGGCCCATCGGGACCCGTTCCCCGGGCCCCCGAAACCCATCAAGCCCAAAGGAAGTTTCCGATCTCCCCCAGCCCTCCCAGCTGCCCTGCCACAGCCTTCCCACTCCAGCCAAGAGCAGGTCTGGTTGCTCAAACCTAAATCCTTGACTTCTTTTCTGGAGGATGATCCGACAGGAAATCCACTAACTCTAACTTCGAAAGCGATCACTCCTCCTCCGTGGACGTCCTCCATAACCCCAGTCTGACCAGGACAAAAACACTGAACACACCCAGATGGAGGGGCCTTATAGAATGCCTGACCGGTAGGCCTAGAAGGGCCTGAAACCCGATTCTGAGCCAGGCCCCAGCCCAGCCATGAGCACTAAGTCAGCTACAGTACAGAAGCCCACGGCCAGTGCAGAGAGAAAAACCAGCACCAGCAGCCACTGGGTGGCCACAGCCTTCTCTGAGACCCACCGACCCACCGTCTCCCCTGCCTGTCAGGGACACCAGCCCTTCTGGCTTAAGCCGGCAGGAGTCTGGTCTCTGTCATTTGTTACCAAAACCATCAAACGACCTTACCACCCCCTGGGAACGCAAGCCCTCCACCCCAGACCACACACGCCAAGACCAGGTGCCCCCTGGGACTTCACCTCTCCTGGCCAGCTCCATGGCTGTCTGCTTCCCGATGCCCGTGTTGGCGCCAGTCACAATGACGGTCTTCCCGGGAATGGTGGCCTTGCTGGGACAGGCCCCGCCTGCAACGTAGTCTCTGTAGGTAAGCAAGGAGGTCACTTTGGTCCACGTGTGCACCCTGACTGTTACGATCTTGGGCGCTCGTGTTCCTGCAGTGCAAAGACAGGAAGGACATCTCCTAACTCCGTGGGGGCCCATGTGGTGTCGCAGGCAAAGGCTGCACATGGCTGGGTGTGGGGAGGCTCCGCACGGGACCATCACTACTTTGCAAAGACCCACTGGACTGGTTTCCTATGGCTGCTGTAACAAGTGACCACAGGCTCGGCTGGTTAAAACCTTGCACAGGTAAATCTACGGGTCTCACCGGGAGAAGGACAGGTGTTGGCAGGGCTGTGCTCCTCCTGGAGGCTCTAGGGAGAGGTGGGTCACATGCCTTTTCCAGCTCCTAGAGGTGCCCACACTCCCTGGCTCACAGCCCCTCCTCCTCTGTCTCCGAAGTCAGCACAGCATCTTCAGGTCCTGACTCTGAAGGACCACTGTGACCGCACTGGGCCCCCACCTGGACAATCCAGGATCACCTTCCCATCTCAGGGTCCTTAACTCAGTGGCACCGGCAGAGTCCCCTATGACAGGCAAGGGAAGACCTTCACAGGTTCTGAGCATGAGTACATGCACATCTTTGCGAGGCTCTTACCCTCTACCCACATTCCCCAGAGGCCAAATACTGGAAACAAGCGAATGTCACTGACAGGGGCCGGGCCAAGCAGACAGTGCCGCCAGCCTACAACAGAAGAGCACAGCACAAATCACCACCCTCCTGGGGCTAATTCTTTAAGTTAATTAAAAGGAAACAGCCATCCTTTTTCCCCAGGGCATTCTGCTAACGTTCATTCTGCCCATCCCATGCTATCCCTTTAGTATTGTTACTATTTTTAGCTTCATCAGAACTGAAAGACAAGAGTATGAATAAAAAAACAAACAGCAAGTGATGAATTTTATCACAAGGGGAAATTATTTCCATTGAAAAAAGAATCATCTCCATCTTCTAGAACTTTCAAAAACACCCAGTTACCATCCCAGAGCTGCTGTGTCATGAATTATAAATCACAAGAGACGGGCCAGCTACACGAAAATGACGTTATCGGATCAGAAGCAACAAGTTCACCGTGAAGCCTCATCACAGCGCAGGCAAATAAACCCAAAGGTAATTTATTCAAAGAGATTTACAATCTATGCTTCATGCCCTTGATTTAAAAAAAAAAAAAAGTATTTAAATATTCCAATTACTTGGAGCACCTGGGTGGCTCAGTGGGTTAAGCCTCTGCCTTCAGCTTGGGTCATGATCTCGGGGTCCTGGGATGGAGCCCCGCATCGGGCTCTCTGCTCAGCGGGGAGCCTGCTTCCTCCTCCCTCTGCCTGCCTCTCTGCCTGCTTGTGATCTCTGTCAGTCAAATAAATAAACAAAATCTTTATAGTAAAAAAAATTCCAATTACTTTCGGGCCTCCCAGCTAATCTCTTGTATTGTGTAAGTGTAATAAAATTATATATTGCTAATTCTTTTTTTGTTAGTGGTAAGAACACAGGAGCTGCACGCTCTTCGCAGGTGCGTAAGGACCATATTGCTAACTGTAAGCCTAACACAGCCGAACTGGGAGCGCTCAGTAGCCACGTGTGATGGCGATCATCATGGACGGCACCACCCAGACACACTTCCATCCGCCGAGAAAGTTCTACCAAACAGTGCTGCTCTAGAATATTCGGGAGCCGGGTTTTCTGTGGGGTTTTTTTAAGTGCGTTAGCCTAGAAAAGACAAGAACTCCGTGTGTATCCCATGCAGTACAACCGTTTTGTTCACCGAGCTGGACCATCCGGTTTGCGTCTCTGATTGCGGGTAACGAGAGCTTAGGGGGCCCTGGGTGACGCATGGGGTCCCCCAATGCCTGTCTGCAGGATGGACTCAATAATCGATGACCAGAAGGTTTCCAGGGCCCGGGCCCGCCCCTTTCCTCGGGGTGACCTTGGGCCGTGACCTGCCCTCGAGGCCCGCCCTAGGTTTGCCCCGCCGCACTGTCTGCACCGGTCCTAGGCCGGCGACCCTCAGGCCACCTGTCCCCGGCCCGTCCCCACCTGGCGGCCACCCACCTGCCCACCAGGGGCGCGCACTCACCGGAGCAGCACCGCGCCACCCACCGCCGTGCCCAGCACGGACAGCGGCAGGAGGTAGCGGTTCATGCCGGGCAGGAGCTAGGGTCCGACGCCGAGCCCCCCGCAGGGTCTTTCGGAGGAGAGGAGCGAGAAGCCGGCGACCCACGCGGAGAAGGGCAAGCTCTGCTCGGCCCCGAGCTTCCGGAAAGGGGCGGGGCGCTGTGGGCGGGGCTTCAGGGGCGGGCCTGCCCGGAGCGGGGCCTATGAGGATGGGCCCCGGCGCCGCTGCAGCCAGGAATGGGAGGTTCCGGAGTCGTGGGCGTGGCCGCGGCCTGGGGGCGGGGCATGAGGGGCGAGCCTGCGCACTGTTCCATGACGTCACGTTCGCGGTACTGTCAGCGCGCGGCTGTTCCACCAGAGGCAGAGTTAGGGTCCTGCTGCTTCCGCCGCGCCCCGCGCTGCCGCTCGCAGGCTGCGCTCCTCTGTGTACCTTTCCCATATATCAGCCTCTTCACACCTAAAGTGCGTGTTCACCACTAGCACCTTCCTCATGGGCGATGAGAGAATTTGAGAATTTCGAGGCTCCGGGCCGGGACCTACTGGCCTGGGGCTTCCCAAACCCCTGGGGTCCTGAGGGAGATCAGGGCAAAGACTCTAGAATCTGAAGGAGGAGGGGCTGGGGGTCTGGACTCCCGGGTCTGAGGGAGGAGGGACTGGGGCTGGACTCCCAGGTCTGAGGGAGGAGGGGTTGTGGGGCTGGGGGCCTGGACTCCCAGGTCTGAGGGAGGAGGGGTTGTGGGGCTGGGGGCCTGGACTCCTGGGTCTGAGGGAGGAGGGTTTAGGTGTCTTAACTGCTGGGTCGGAGAGAGAGGAGGAGATGGAGGCCAGGACTCCTGGATAAAATATTCTAAATGCGTACAATGGGTTATTATTAAAAAAAAAAAAAAAAATGCTGGCAATTGTGACAGCCGAGATGCGCTACAAAAGTATCGTTCTGCGTGAAAGAAGCCAGTCGCAGAAGACTGCATGACGTATGAGTCCAGTTACATGGCATGGTTCTAGGAAAGGCAAGCCAGTAGTGAAGGAAGGAAGATCCGTGGTTGCCAGGGGCAGAGGGGGAGGAGGAAGTGATTGCCAGAAAGGGAACTTCTTTGGGTTTTGGAAATGTCTCTCTTGTAATCCTACTGATAGTTATATGCATGACCTCATACATTTATTTGTAACATGTTATCAGCATTTTCACTTAAAAATAGTGACTTTTGTTGCATGTAAATTATCCTGCAACAAAGGTGACTCAAAAGAACTGAAAATTTTCTCCAATTTTGTTCTGGATATCTTTTGACTACAACTAACTCTTGATTTATGAATCAGTCTGCTTTGTCTGCAATCAACAGACATATTTGAGAATTCTTATGAGGTGAGAAATATCGCCTTGATAAATTATTTCCAGATGCCCAAGAGGTTTTCGAATTGGATTGGACAACAAATTTGATGTGACATTTTGTAGACAGAATGAAATTATTCACTTTGGGTCTGAGCTTTTGCAGTTTGGAGCTAATTTTTTTTTTCTCTTAGATATTGCTTATCTCTGTAATGCTGTGATAACTGTAAGCTCTGTGTGCCCTCCCAGACACAGGGCACCCAAAGGGAACACAACAGCACTGGGTCCAGGATCTGTGATTGGAGTCTCAGCCTAGGAGTGAGGAAAAGTTTCCCAGAGGAAGGGAAACACAAATAGGGTTTTGAAGGATGAGTAGGAGTTCTTTTAAGTGGACCGAGTGGAGAGAGACAACTAGACAGATGTAACAGCATATTCGAAGGCTAGGCATCAGGACGCAAGTTGCTTGGGGAGGGACACGTGTTTGGGATGGTAGGAGGTTGGCTTGAATGGGGAGGCGGCTGGCAAGAGATGTGACTGAAGGGAAAATTTTAAAGAAAAAATAAGCAATAATACCAGCTGCTATTTATTGAGTACCAATGTATGTGCCAAGTATTTAACTGACACAACAAACCAAAGAACAGGTTTGCTGTTAGGGATGTAGCAAAGGTGACTGGGTTTGGCAAGAGGCCTCTCCCCTTTCGGAGACTGTGGGAACTCAGGGCTTCTGGCCATGGAGGGAGCAAGGCCTGGGAAAGGGGAAGGTGCCATGAAGGCAGGTAATGAACCCCAAACGTTGATCTACACACATCTTGTTTCAAATTCCTGTTCTACCTCTTACGTGTGTGTTGAGCAGTGGCTTCCCTTCTCTCAATTTCTGGCTCCTCTTACCCACCAAATGGCAAAGAGATAGTATCCTTAATACGTAAAGAGCTCTTACAAATCTCTAACAAGAGAAGGGAACATAGGCAAATGGTATGATGGGCTATTTGCAAAGAAGTGATGTCAACACACACATGAAACTATTCAGCCTTCCTAGGAATCAAAGAAATGCTCATTAGGGTAATTATGAGATGGTATTTTCGCCTATCAGATTGGCAAGGTCAAAACAATGCTAACAGCCTGTGTTGGCAAGGATGTGGTGACATGGGGACTCATACTCACCAGTGGAAGCCTCCTAAAAGGCCATTCAGCAATTCATGTCAAAACCATTTGTGCGGGGCACCTGGGTGGCTCAGTGGGTTAAGCCGCTGCCTTCAGCTTAGGTCATGATATCAGGGTCCTGGGATCGAGTCCCGCATCAGGCGCTCTGCTCAGCAGGGAGCCTGCTTCCCTCTCTCTCTCTCTGCCTGCCTCTCTGCCTACTTGTGATCTGTCCCTATCAACTAAATAAATAAAATCTTAAAAAAAAAAAAAACCATTTGTGCATGGGGGCACCTGGGGGGCTCAGTTGTTGAGCATCTGCCTTTGGCTTGGGTCATGATCCCAGGGTTCTGGGATTGAGTCCCACGTTGGGCTTCCTGCTCAGCAGGAAGCCTGCTTCTCCCTCTCCCACTCCCCTTGCTGTGTTCCCTCTGTTGCTGTTCCTCTGTGTGGAAATAAATAGTTTTTTTTTTTTTAACATCCATGCATATATTCCCCTTGTAAGAATTTATGCTAAGGGAGTAGTCATTCAGAAAGAAAGACACTTAGGAAAATATTCCTCAAATTGCCAGAAGCAAATAAAATTAAGCTCAATGCCTATCCATAGAAGAGGGGTCTACTCTCTACTATTCCAACCTCCACACTCCTTTCAACAACTATGTCATGAGCACCCACTGTGTCCCAGACATTGAACTACACTCTGGCAACAAGGCAGAATCATGGTCCCTCCGATACTAACAGTAAAATTAATTCCTCTGTATGTGGTTCCAGACAGACTCTGTCTGCAGCTTTATCAGGCCCAAATGTTTAAGAACATACATGACTTCTTCCTTAACCGCCAATACGGGGTGGGGAGAGATGGGCTGATTCATTCTCCATCTCTCTCTCTCTCTCTCAAGTGTCTATACTACAGTGCATACTTTTAGGGAAAAAAACCTATAATATTCGGCACCGGGTCTCTGCCAGGCAAAGAAATGGGTGATTTCACTGTTTTTCACTTCCTTGTTCATGTGCCTTTTCTCACTGCATGAAGATGTTAAGCCACGTGACATAAGCCAGTCACAAAAATGCCAATGCCGTATGATTCCGCTTGTTTGAGGTCCCTGGAGGAGACAAAATCCTAGAGACAGAAAGTAGAATGGTGGGTGCAAGGGGCTGGCAGGTGGGGGGAAGTGGGGAGTTAGGGTGTAGTGGGTACAGAATGTCAGGTTTGCAGGAAGAGTTCTGGACGTGGATAGTGGTGATGGTTGCACAACAGCGTGAATGTGCTTAATGCCACTGAACCGTACAGTTGAAAATGGTTAAGATAGTAAATTCTATGTCATGTGTCTTGTACTGTACTTAAGGAGGAGAAGGAGGTCTGAGAGGGGAGGGGGAAGAGGAGCACTCTGTGTTCAGACGCCGGTTCTCTCGATTTTGAGTAAAGCCCTTCCTCTCTGAGCCTTTTTCCCCTTCTATCATCTACCTCAAGGGGGTTTTCTGCAAAGGACAGGATAGTAAATAATTTCGTCCTTGATGGCCTTACGGTCCCTACTGCAACTATCCTGCCATTAGAGCAGGAAAGCCGCCAGAGACAAGATGCACACAAATGAGAGTGGATGTGTTCTAATAAAACTTTATTTACAAAAAGGAGCAATGGGCCGTAGTTTGCCAGCTCATTATAGAGTCTGGAAGGTTGATATAAAGTCATTCACAAGAAGGACCTAACACAGATTAAGTGCCAGAACTTGCTGGCTGCTAATGTAGTTATTACACAGAAAACAATGTGTGCAAATTCCTTCCTCTCTGAGGACCTCCCACTTGATTCCCAGGCACACCCACGGTGTTTAGAAACTCTCTCTAGCTAGGCTTCGCTCCTCTTTATCATTTTCTTGTGTTGGTGAATTCTTGATAAGCGTTGGTGCTGTCCCGGGTGCTGAGAGACCTCTCCCACAAAACCCTCTGCTCTCCCCATCAGGGGCTTATGGCCTCAAATCATTCTGTCTCAATCTCCATCTATCTGCTCTTTTAGGAAATACATTTAAAGTCTTCAGGGGTGGGGCGCCTGGGTGGCTCAGTCAGGTAAGTGTCTGCCTTCGGCTCAGGTTGTGACCTCAGGGACCTGGGATCGAGTCCTGCCTCATCTGTCTCCCTGCTCAGTGGAAAGTCTGCTTCTCTCTCTCACTCTGCTGCTCCCTCTTTGTGTGCTCCCCCCTGACAAATAGATAAATAAAATATTTTTAAAAAATAAAAATTTTTAGGGGTATAAGAATATTAGGTCTGGAAGTGACTCTTAAATTGTTCAGGGAAAAAATGTGTGTGAGAGAGAAAGAGACAGGGAGATAGGAATGATAAGCAAGTGTTTATGTTCATTGTTAAGCTCTGGGGATTCTGGGTGTAGTATAGGGAGTTCTATGTATTATTTTGCAGCTTTTCTGTAGGTCTGAAATTATTCCAGCACTTGAACAATACATATATGAACCTCAAACCCACCATGAGATCATGTAGTGTATGGTTGTATTTATATGAAATGTCCAGATTGGCCAATCCGCAGGTACAAAGAGCAAATTAATGTTTTCCAGGGGTTCAGAGAGGGAGGAATGGGGAGTAGCTGCTAATAGGTTCAGGGCTTTATTTTGGGCTGATAA